AACAGGTCACCCATGTGATGTACAACTCCACAATAGCTACTTCCAAAAAGCCAAGCCTGTTCTTGGCTCATGTAAGAAGAACTCTATATTAATGGATCATCACAGCCTGCAGAAATCATGACTATTCCTCCAGTAAAGTTTATGGTTTGCCGACAGACAACCGTAGAGGCTAAATGCATTCTCTCTCTCTAGTTATATTATGGATCACAGTATGTATCTATCACACAGTATGTAGATAGTGTCTTCACATATGACTTTATGGTTAATATGGATGATATCAGCCCTACTACAGCAGTAGATATGTAAACACACGTGTCAGCATGACTTTCCTTTCAAATGTAAAGTGTGAAAAAAATACTCATCCACTGCCTGAAAAATAAACAGTGTGTTAAACTGCATGTATTGGAGCCATTAAACAAGTGCCATGTGATAAGAATCTCCACTTCCCCACTGTTTCACCTTGGAGGCAGTCAGAGGACCAAGGGGCCCAAGTGACAGGGGCAGATAAAAGACAACCTAATCAACACATCCCAGGGAAATAATGACAATGGACTATGAATAAATATTTTCCCAGATGATTAAATGGAGGGTGCTGGTAGTAGTGAGTGTGTGTGTACTGTATGTGTGTGTGGAGGGGGGAGGAGGCCTGGGTCTATGGTGTGTGTGTGTGGAGGGGGGAGGAGGCCTGGGTCCGTGGTGTGTGTGTGTTAGATAGGGAGTGAGGATAAGACTGCTGTTGTCTAAGGCGTGTAATGCTGGAAGGTTATTTTAAAACAGCAGAGCCAAGGAGGCCCTCCCGCCTCTCCCAAACCAGCAAATAAAGGGAAGGCATGTCTCCTGTGTGTGTCCCCAACTAATTATGAGAAAGCTATTCAGAGGGACAGTGATGAACCTCAGAGCACTCCCACAGTATGGAGCAGTGGTAGTCTTTTTTTTTTTTTTGTCTGGGGAAGAAGTTCTACACTGGGGAATATGCAGAAGCTTGTTATCAATAAAAATGGTTCCTACCTACTACAGCTTCCAGTAAATCTACACAGAGGAACGTGTGTTTGATGTGAAAGAAAATGTTAGTTTGTGCGTGGGTGTGTATGTGTGTTTGTATGTGTGTGTAAATATGTGCGAGTGGGCCTGTAGGTTTGTAAACGAACTACATATGTGCAGTAATATTTGATTGATCAAGCGAGCACAAAGTGGGGAGTACAGTAAATGAGTTTTTGCATCAGCCGTTGCCGTCTTGCAAATTGGGCTCCTTTCTTTAATGTATGAATTGCCTACAAATCCGTTTGGGAGGGAAGTTGTTAAGGACTTGGAGATGAACACATTCTCCCATTGGCCTAGATATAAAGGCATATTTAGATGAGAAAATACAGCACACCTGGAACGAATGACTGTACGTCCATTCTTGATCATGTGCTTAACAGACTATAAAAACATCCTAAAGGATATTACTTACCAACCAACTTCAATAGAGGGGATATCAATGGACTTACATGCAGACCACTGAAGTGAACCTGAGGCCCGGGAGACTGTTAGGTGAGACAGAGTTGCAAAGTTTGAGCCTGTGCACATGTTGAGCATCAAAGCCTACAAATCAACAGTTTATTTATGGTGACCGATACCATCTAGGGTATATGAAGGAGAGTATCAATCACTCACAAATTGATGTTTCAACACATCATTAGAGCGATGGTAGTGGGATAAGATAAACTTAATTAAACTAATTGGGAATATCCAATAAAATAAAATAAAACTTTATTGGTCGGGTACACAGATTTGCAGCAAAAGGCTTATGTTTCTAGCTCCAACAGTGCAGTAATATCTAGCAATACAAAAACAGTACTTAAAAAGGTTGTAGGAGATGAAACCAGAAACGTTCTGAGCAAATAAAGTAAGACAACACAAAAAAAAACACAGAAACTAGATTGGCTAGTTGGCTAGGAGCTAGAAACAGAACTAGGTTGGCTAGGAGCTCAAAACAGAACTAGGTTGGGTAGGAGCTGGGAGCTAGAAACAGAACTAGAAACAGAACCAGGTTGGCTAGGAGTTAGAAACAGAACTAGAAACAGAACCAGGTTGGCTAGGAGTTAGAAACAGAACTAGGTTGGCTAGTTGGCTAGGAGATAGAAACAGAACTAGGTTGGCTAGGAGCTGGGAGCTAGAAACAGAACTAGAAACAGAACTGGGTTGGCTAGTTGGCTAGGAGATAGAAACAGAACTAGGTTGGCTAGTTGGCTAGGAGCTAGAAACAGAACCAGAAACAGAACTAGGTTGGCTAGAAGCTAAAACCAGAACTAGGTTCGCTAGTTGGCTAGGAGCTAGAAACATAACTAGGTTGGTTAGTTGGCTAGGAGCTAGAAACAAAACTAGGTTGGCTTTGAGCTGGGAGCTAGAAACATAACTAGAAACATAACCAGGTTGGCTAGTTGGCTAGGAGCTAAAAAACTGAACTAGGCACGCTAGTTGGCTAGGAGCTAGAAACAGAACTAGGTTGGTTAGTTGGCTAGGAGCTAGAAACAGAACTAGAAACATAACTAGGTTGGCTAGGAGCTGGGAGCTAGAAACAGAACTAGAATCAGAACTAGATTGGCTAGTTGGCTAGGAGCTAGAAACAGAACTAGAAGCAGAACTAGGTTGGCTAGTTGGCTAGGAGATAGACACAGAACTAGGTTGGCTAGTTGGCTAGGAGCTAGAAACAGAACTAGGTTGGCTAGTTGGCTAGGAGCTAGAAACAGAACCAGAAACAGAACTAGGTTGGCTAGAAGCTAAAACCAGAACTAGGTTCGCTAGTTGGCTAGGAGCTAGAAACAGAACTAGGTTGGTTAGTTGGCTAGGAGCTAGAAACAAAACTAGGTTGGCTATGAGCTGGGAGCTAGAAACATAACTAGAAACATAACCAGGTTGGCTAGTTGGCTAGGAGCTAAAAACAGAACTAGGTACGCTAGTTGGCTAGGAGCTAGAAACAGAACTAGGTTGGTTAGTTGGCTAGAAACAGAACTAGAAGCAGAACTAGGTTGGTTAGATGGCTAGGAGCTAGAAACAGAACTAGGTTGGTTAGATGGCTAGGAGCTAGAAACAGAACTAGGTTGGTTAGATGGCTAGGAGCTAGAAACATGGGACACTCAATGTACAAGATGTCTTACTGTATGTAGTGTGCTGAATAGCCACCACTAATCAGCTACCTACTCCACCCTCCACCCCGCTACTCCCCCTATGGACATTCCAAACACATTTTCACTAAGAGCAGTTTGTTAGCTGGTTAAACAAAGTTTAGCCATGTGTTGGCTTGTTGTACCTTCTGTCATTCCCTAGGGGCCATAATGTATACTGTACTCAGCCAGATGGTCCAACTGGGCCTAGCAGGGTGTGAGGTTAGGGAGCAGAACTCAGCAGCCACCTCAGTTCACTGGAGCACCAGACCTCTGCTTCACTGGTGACACTCAACACCCTGCCCTGACAATACAAAATCACATTTAATGAAATCTATGATACAACATTATATCATCTTATTTTATTTCATATGAATAGGTAACACTTTACTTGACACCCAGTGTCATAACACATTATTATGACCATCCTGTGTCACTTTACTTGGACTAAGAAAATACACTTTATGACACTATCAAGAAGCATTATGACTGTCATAATCATATAAGCCAGATAAGCCTATCACGTACATGCCCTTATGTCAGTCATCAGTCAAAAAGAGGGTGTCTTGTCCTGCTCCTTAAATCTGCTCCTGCATTCATCCCAGTCATTAGCAACAGACCATTGGGGTAGGTGCATGTCTGACATCAATTTGAGCACAATTACAATGATAATATAATATGGTCAATTTCATAAAGGTTTATATAACAAACATACTGTTCACAAGTAGGCCATGGGGTAATGGAATGTTTTGCTTTGTGTGGGAGGGTTTGTGGGTTTTGACACTCTTATGTAGGTGTCATAACCAGCCATAAAATAATGCAGTATATGTCACAACAGGTCTAAATGTACGTGTCATGACAGTGTTATGACCATATTATGACAGGTTATGACAAGTTATGTCAGCTGGTATGACATATATGGCATGGTTATGACTGTGTCATAATGTGTTATGACGCTGGGTGTCAAGTAAAGTGTTACCGATTATCGATGTACTAGCGTGAGGTTGCCCCCTTACACTGATCTAAGGTCAAGTTCAAACCCTTCCCATCTGATGGGATAGGATAGGATGGCATAGGATAGGATAAGCTGATCCTAGGCAACATCAGATCTGGAGACGGAGGACATGGCCTGATTGGAGGTCCATCTGTCCGTCCAGCCTGGACTGTCATCAGAGACCTCCCGGGGGTGAGAAGACAGGAGCACAGGGAGTTATGTTCAGTATCAAGGCCTGCTCTCTCTGGTGCAGTATTGGAACACATCTCATTACATCCTACCCACATGTATCGCCACACATTTCGTAAGCATCAACACATGTTATTGCCTGTGTCTAGTGCAACACTGAATGTTAATGTCAATCAGTCCCACGCACAGTGATGTTAAACAATGTATTCTAAAAGGAGTCAACATTCCTTGGCTGGACTGAGTGGAAGTTGTAAAAGCAGTTGGACAGTTATTGCTTTCATTGCTTTCAGTGGGGAGATGGAGTTGGAGTTTTGTTAATGGTGGTAAATGCCTGTTGTACAGATGGATTGGAGCAGATAAGCCATTGCTGGGGCAGGGCATACACATTTCCTAGTCTCAAACTAAGATGTCAAGATGGTCTCTGCGGGATCATAGAGCTGTTAATACCATTTCCATATACAGGTGATAAGGGTTGGATTCAAACCATTTTGACTGAAGATTCTTATCATTGACATGACGGTATAAGTCTGAAGATAGGCCTTATCTGCTGGGAAGACTGGGAGGACTAGTATCATGCTTAATGTGTTAACAGTGCTTGGTGTAAGGATTTGATTTGAGAACAGTATTTCTGATATCATCTATATAATAGCTATGTCTACTAGTACACACTCTGCTGATATAGCAATACACTCCGCTAGTATAGCAGCACACTCCGCTGGTATAGCAACACACTCTGCTGGTATAGCAACACACTCTGCTGGTATAGCAACACACTCTGCTGGTATAGCAACACACTCTGCTGGTATAGCAACACACTCTGCTGGTATAGCAACACACTCTGCTGGTATAGCAACACACTCTGCTGGTTTAGCAACACAGTCTGCTAGTATTGCAACACACTCTGCTGGTATAGCAACACACTCTGCTGGTATAGCAACACACTCTGCTGGTATAGCAACACAGTCTGCTAGTATTGCAACACACTCTGCTGGTATAGCAACACACTCTGCTGGTATAGCAACACACTCTGCTGGTATAGCAACACACTCTGCTGGTATAGCAACACACTCTGCTGGTATAGCAACACACTCTGCTGGTATAGCAACACAGTCTGCTAGTATAGCAACACACTCTGCTGGTATAGCAACACACTCTGCTGGTATAGCAACACACTCTGCTGGTATAGCAACACTGACCACTCAGCACCATATCAGAAGACTTTACAGCAACATGGGGAGACCTGTAGTGGCATATAGTCTAACTTTGGGAGAGAGAAGAAATTCAAACATTTTGCCAATGACAAATTAAACAGAGCTTCCAAACAGCTCTTCTGTGACCTTGCTTCATGTTCAATCCAACACATTTTTACCAAAGTGGGATATTCAGCGCTACACAGCCTCGGAATGACAAACAGAGAGGATGTAAAAAAAAAAAAACATCTTACGCTGTTTTTCTTTAATTCACACCGGATACAGCTAGGCTCTGTCACTGTGGATCAGATCGACTTTATTTTTAATGTTTCATTGTTCTTTAAGGGTAAATTATCCTCTGCTGATAAACTGTACAATGCTACATTAAAGGATCAAGACAGAATATTATTTTTTGTTGTCATGAAAAACATTCTGTCTCACCTGCCTTTTCCTGGAGCCTAATTGGCGCAGACTGACTGTGTGTGTGTGGAGTCAGCGTGTGTGGAGTTTATGTGTGTGTGGAGATGGTGTGTGTGTGTGTGTGTGTGTGTGTGTGTGTGTGCACTCGTCTGTCTGGAGGAAACACCGCTCCCACATACTGTACGCCTGCAGAGCAGTCTGGCTCATCACTGCATAGCCCCACGCGGAAAATAGCAGAAAAATGAGTAAACAAGTTAAGGGGAAAAATTGCTCGTCTCAGAGGGTGTTCCGGAAGAAAGTGCTCCCTGCAACCTAGTCCCCCTGGGAGAAAGACTGGGTGGAAAACAAGGCTCCCACTAGTATCACTCTCCCATTATTCCTGCTGCTCCCACTCCTGGAATTAGGCCAACAGAGCTCCAGTGGAGCAGTCCTGTCTAGTAGGCCCGGGACCATACCAGTATTGCAATACTCGTTAGTATTGTGGCAAGTTAACAAAACACGAAGCGGATTTAACTTCTTTAGGAAAACAGCCCTAATGTTGGAAACATGCATCATTATGTTGTCATCCAGAGTCACATTGATTTATTTTCCAAGCTATAACATACAATATTTGACATACAACAGGTTTTTAAAGGACCAAAAGGGGCTAGCAGACATGAGAGGGCTGAGAAAGAGGGGGCTGCGTAGGGGTCGACCTGGCAGCGGTTGGTCCTACCGCTTCAAGAGACTGTCGTTTGTGCTCAAGCACCCGGGGAGAGCTGTTCGCTGTTCTCAGACCAGGCCCCATTAAGGAGACCCAACATCTTCTGGCTTCGTTTGTGGGCTAACAATCAGAGAAGCTAATGAGTCTAAATGATATAGGCCTGTGCCTGCCTGCCCACCACACTAGCACCACCACCAGGCAGGCAGGCCTCTTAGTGCCGCAGCCCAATAATTTGGTATCAATTTGGAGATGGTGTAATTGCTTTGAAACCATTGTAGCATCATTAGACCTGCAGTCTGGGAATGGCATTTGCAGGGGGAATGAAAGGGCACAGCTAACAGCTTCTCTGTAGGACAGTAAAGGTTATTTTTAATCACTGAAGAAGAATCCTTCCTTATCGTCCCCTACTCCCACTGTTCCTTGGACGTCATCTCGCTTAGTCTCACTACTCCACTGCCAGCACCAACCGCAGGCTACGTTAGCTAGGCTACCGTAGGCTACTGCACAGGAGAGTGTAGAGAGACGGTGGAAACGCAACTATGAGTCGGCAATTCTGTTAATTAAGCGGTGGGTTTGTTTGTTGCAGACAAAGAGATTTTACCTCTGACCTGCTGTGTGGCGGTACTAGAAAATGGCCTAATTAAGGAGCTGGAGAGTGGACCTCGGTTACAGAAACAGTACAGTGGGTTTGACCAGCCACCACTGAACAACATCAGGGTCAGGGAGGATAGTGCCTCACAAAGCCTAAGCAGACTATTCACTATAGACTAGACTTTGATTAATTTGTGTTCGACTCGAAGGTCTGGCCATCATGACACATCACCACATTTGACATAAAAGAGAGTTGTAAAAAAGCGTAACTCAAGGCCAGAGAGGACCATTCAATATAGATGGAAGCAGATTAATTCCTAGTTATTGGCAGAGAGAGGGTAGACTGGGCAAGCGAAAGAGAGAGAGAATGATGGCACAGAAAGAGTCAGAATAAGATAATTATACTAGTGGACCTTTTATTCATGGTGAAGGATTTACTTTGTCTTTCTTGCTTAAAAAGGGGTCCTCGCTGTACTAGCAAAAAAAGATAGGGGATAGGTTAGAACACAAAGTGGCTCAAATTAAAAACCAACAAAGCTATAATTCAGTCTATCTTGTCAAGGTATCCACTAAAATACAGTGGGGAAAAAAGTATTTAGTCAGCCACCAATTGTGCAAGTTCTCCCACTTAAAAAGATGAGAGAGGCCTGTAATTTCCATCATAGGTACACGCCAACTATGACAGACAAAATGAGGAAAAAAAATCCAGAAAATCACATTGTAGGATTTTTAATGAATTTATTTGCAAATTATGGTGGAAAATAAGTATTTGGTCAATAACAAAAGTTTCTCAATACTTTGTTATATACCCTTTGTTGGCAATGACACAGGTCAAACGTTTTCTGTAAGTCTTCACAAGGTTGTCACACTCTGTTGCTGGTATTTTGGCCCATTCCTCCATGCAGATCTCCTCTAGAGCAGTGATGTTTTGGGGCTGTCGCTGGGCAACACAGACTTTTAACTCCCTCTAAAGATTTTCTATGGGGCTGAGATCTGGAGACTGGCTAGGCCACTCCAGGACCTTGAAATGCTTCTTACGAAGCCACTCCTTCGTTGCCCGGGCGGTGTGTTTGGGATCATTGTCATGCTGAAAGACCCAACCACGTTTCATCTTCAATGCCCTTGCTGATGGAAGGAGGTTTTCACTCAAAATCTCACGATACATGGCCCCATTCATTCTTTCCTTTACACGGATCAGTCGTCCTGGTCCCTTTGCAGAAAAACAGCCCCAAAGCATGATGTTTCCACCCCCATGCTTCACAGTAGGTATGGTGTTCTTTGGATGCAACTCAGCATTCTTTGTCCTCCAAACACGACGAGTTGAGTTTTTACCAAAAAGTTCTATTTTGGTTTCATCTGACCATATGACATTCTCCCAATCCTCTTCTGGATCATCCAAATGCACTCTAGCAAACTTCAGACGGGCCTGGACATGTACTGGCTTAAGCAGGGGGACACGTCTGGCACTGCAGGATTTCAGTCCCTGGCGGCGTAGTGTGTTACTGATGGTAGGCTTTGTTACTTTGGTCCCAGCTCTCTGCAGGTCATTCACTAGGTCCCCCCGTGTGGTTCTGGGATTTTTGCTCACCGTTCTTGTGATCATTTTGACCCCACGGGGTGAGATCTTGCGTGGAGCCCCAGATCGAGGGAGATTATCAGTGGTCTTGTATGTCTTCCATTTCCTAATAATTGCTCCCACAGTTGATTTCTTCAAACCAAGCTGCTTACCTATTGCAGATTCAGTCATCCCAGCCTGGTGCAGTTCTACAATTTTGTTTCTGGTGTCCTTTTACAGCTCTTTGGTCTTGGCCATAGTGGAGTTTGGAGTGTGACTGTTTGAGGTTGTGGACAGGTGTCTTTTATACTGATAACAAGTTCAAACAGGTGCCATTAATACAGGTAACGAGTGGAGGACAGAGGAGCCTCTTAAAGAAGAAGTTACAGGTCTGTGAGAGCCAGAATCTTGCTTGTTTGTAGGTGACCAAATACTTATTTTCCACCATAATTTGCAAATAAATTCATAAAAAATCCTACAATGTGATTTTCTGGATTTTTTTTCCATCAATTGGCTGTCATAGTTGACATGTACCTATGATGAAAATTACATGCCTCTCTCATCTTTTTAAGTGGGAGAACTTGCACAATTGGTAAATGACTAAATACTTTTTTTCCCCACTGTACATTATAACATGTCAGGGAGAAGGCTTCCCTTGCATTTTGCCTGGATTATATTTTCAGTTGTGGTGTATGCCCGGCTTTTCACAGGCTTTTAAAAGCCTACCTGTCCCACTCAACCTCCAGGTCAATATTTAATAAATGGAACGCACACCTCCTTCACTCCTCCTCTCTACACCTCCTCCACTCCTCCTCTCTACCCCTCCTCCACCCACGATCTCTCCCGCCGCCCGAGCCCCTCCTCCACTCTACCCCTCCTCCATTCCTCCTCCTTCCCTCCTCCACCCCTTCTCGAACCCCCTCAGGCCCCCCATCCCCTCCTTCCCCCCTCCTCACTCGACCCCCCCCACCTCCGCCTTACCCCGACATCAAACCCCCCTCCACTCCGCTCCTCTTCAACTCACTCCTTCCTCCTCCCTCCTCCACTCATCTCTCTTCCCTCCTCACTCCTCTCTCGCCCTCACCACCCCTCCACTCTTCCTCTCTTCCCCTCCTCCACTCCTCTCTACCCTTCCTCCACTCCTCCTCTCTACACCTCCTCCACTCCCCTCCTCTTCTCTTCCCCTCCTCCACTCCTTCTCTCTCCCCCTCTTCCTCCTGTCTACCTCCCCTCCATCAACAGCAAGTATGTTTCTTCAGCTGACAGCAGAAAGACTGACACGCATCACATCACACACACGCTCGCTAAACATTGTGATGCAGAATCTAGGTCAAAGATGCATTAAAACTGCCATGGAGGTGCTGCAGAAACAATTCAAATGGATGTGGAATCCCTGGAGGGGCCCTGTGTACCTCACGTGGCAGGGACATCACTTCAAAAGGGTCAGGGACTGTGCACACACACTCGCAAAACTACACACAAACACACACACACACACACACACACACACACACAGGCAGTAGTGTTCAAACACAGACGCGCACACTCACACACACACACCAGGACCACCATCAACAAATCTCAGCAGTATCTAAGAGTACAAAACCCTTGGGCTACCAAAAGGAGTAGGATGGATGTAGAGGGATATAAACTTCACCAGCAGTTAAGAGCAGTGGCCCTTGACCTTATACAACCACAGGAGATGAGAAGAGAAACAGAGAGAAGGAAAGAGAAGGAGAGAGCCAGCAGTCACTCCTTCAAGAGCTTCATTTTGCAGAGTATCACTTTCTCTCTTCCTTCTTTTCTTTAAATGAACAATCTATAACTGGCAGACATTTTTATTTCCCCCCAAAGCAGCCTTGCTCCGGATGTCGTCAGGTGGAGAGTAACACCAAAGTTGATGAAATATTATTCGACGGGAAAGCTCCATTGATCACCTCAGCAGTGAGGCCTTAGGTTGAGTCCCAAGTGGCACGCTATCTACTTTATAGTGCACTACCTTGGGCAAGACATAGTTGGGCCCTGGGAAAAAGTAGTGCAATAGATAGGGAAAAGGGTGCCATATGGGACGCAGCCTTGTTTGTATGCCGAGTGGACGGTCGAGAGCACAGACAGATTGCTCCCAGATTGATACAAGTGTCCAAAGTCATTGCATGTCAGAGATGTGGCACCACACAGAGCAGAGGGACTTAACACACAGGCAGGCAAGCATGAGAAGAAACCAACACACACACACACACACACACACACTACAAGCCTCCTTTGGAAGAGGAAGTAGGCTTGGGCTTGGTGTTGCTTTGGGGGCCATTACAACACACATATTTAGGGTTGCAAAATTCCGGTAACTTTCCCCAAATTCCCTGGTTTTCCAGAAATCCTGGTTGGAGGATTACAGATTTCTTATAGAAATTTTTGAAAAGTTACCGGCTTTTTGTAAATCCAATGTGGATATCACTGCCAGCAAAAACCACTATGAGTCATGTCATTCCACTACTGAAGCATGCTCTGTAATGTTAGCTCACACAAATTATAGGAGTGACTTTCACTGGGGGACTCCGATGGGCTTAATTAAGTGAAACCTCATTGTTCCGAGGTACAGTCACCTTTCTTTTCCTGAAAGAAAAAGCCCTGTGGCATACCAGCTGGGCTCTCACACAGAGCACACACACAGACTCTGGAACACACACACAGACTCTGGAACACACACACAGACTCTGGAACACACACACAGACTCTGGAACACACACACAGACTCTGGAACACACACACAGACTCTGGAACACACACACAGACTATGGAACACACACACAGACTCTGGAACACACACACAGACTCTGGAACACACACACAGACTCTGGAACACACACACAGACTCTGGAACACACACACAGACTCTGGAACACACACACAGACTCTGGAACACACACACAGACTCTGGAACACACACGCAGCCTCTGGAACACACACACAGACTCTGGAACACACACACAGACTATGGAACACACACACACAGACTCTGGAACACACACACAGACTCTGGAACACACACACAGACTCTGGAACACACACACAGACTATGGAACACACACACAGACTCTGGAACACACACACAGACTCTGGAACACACACACACAGACTCTGGAACACACACACACAGACTCTGGAACACACACACAGACTCTGGAACACACACACACCCCCATAGACAGAACCTAGTAACACACATGTGCACACACAGACACACACACACAGTAATGATCCAGACGCACGCACACATGCACGTGCATGCACATGCACACACAAACACACACACACACACACACACACACACACACACACACACACTAACTCTCACCTACGGAGGAAAGGCATTCTACACACTGCCAAATAAATAAAATAAAATAAAATAAATGTACCCTATGGTCTAGCCTGCTCTCGACTCGTCATCTCCCTGGGCCTGAGTGCCCCTATCAACCTGGAGCAGCACTGGAAGACCCCCATATCGCTCCATACATAGCCAGCAATCTCACCATACAAACCAATGTATGAGACAATATCCCGCTATATCCTCAGCCCTCATCTCTCTAGAGTGTTACGACACAGAAAACACACACCCTTAAGGTTCTGGTGCTGTAACACAACCCGGGGCTTCTAAAAGACGTATTTCAACCACACACAACCCTCAGTGTCTGTCTCTCTGTCTCAAGGGGCAGAAACAATATGAGGATCCCCGTTTGTATAACTGGATGACTTCTTGCCCACTGTTTGTCACCACCACAGGGGTGGTGGTAATGTATTCCTTATTAACACAAACCTGGGTTTAAATGGGTGGTGAGAAAAATAAAAAACAAGCAGGTATTGGCAATACATCAGACGGGGGGACGGTTAGTTGGACTGTTCTGATATGAATTCCGGGGGGTCCCGGCGGCAGCTTTGTTTTGCTTATTAGTCATCTGATCAAATCCCACCAGAAGCCATTCGGAACCATATTGTAAAAATTATCAACAACTTCGACGAGCCGGTGTGGGATTTGCTGTTCCTGCGGTACTTTACCGTCCTACCAAGTGAGAGATTGGAGGAGGGGGGTCCGAGTAATCAGAGGGGGTTGGAGTAATGAGGCCAAAGCAGTTTATCCGGTGAAGTTCCACTTTCGCTGAAAGCAACACGCTGTCGAATGAGAATTCCACTTTCGCTGAAATTGACACAGTGTCAAATGAGAGTTCCACTTTCGCTGAAAGTAAGGTGTCAAATGAGAGTTCCACTTTCGCTGAAAGCAACATGCTGTCGAATGAGAGCTTGTAGTTATGGGCTCCTTAAAAGGAGGTGAACAATATTAAAAGCTACTTCAATTCATTCATTCAGCCATGTCTAGAGAAAATGGTGCTAATAAAGGACTAGCTCGTTAGCTGTATTGTTCATGTGCTGACGAACATCAACTGTTTTGGCATAGGTAGAATATGGAGCTGCTTTGTGCCAGTAATATGAACCAAATTTTGCTGTAGGTCTGAATATGCCTATCTCCTATCGCATATCCCGCTCTGAGCGAACCGTCAAAAAACAACCCAGAAGGGCAAAGAGATGACATGCCAAGCTCAATATTTGCAAATATCCGCACTGTGTGTTTATCTCCGGGAATGCTGGGTCATTTTGTGTGTGAGAGTGAGGCCCATATTTACCTTCTCTGGTCATTTACTTCTTATGAGCACTTGGGCTCTGCTGAAGGGAAGAAGGAAGGAAGGAAGGAAGGAAGGAAGTTGGAGAGAGAGAAGAAGAAAAAACGATTTTCTTGGAGTGTGTTTGCTTCCCTGGCTGAATGTTCTCTGTCTTCCAGTGTGAAGCTATCTCCTCCTCTACCTTGACCCGGGCCATGAGGAGCCACATTAGGAGGCAGATGACATCCTGGGCACGCTGGCACAAGGAGAGAAAAACAGAGAGAAAGAGAAAGAGAGAGATGAAAAGAGAGAGAATGAGAGAGAGAAAGGTAGAGAGAGAAACAGAGAGATAATGAGAGAGAGACAAAAAGAGAGAGAGAGAGAGAGAGAGAGAGAGAGAGAGAGAGAGAGAGAGAGAGAGAGAGAGAGAGAGAAGAAAGAAAGAGAAAGAAAAAGAGAACAGGAGACTAATTGAAAATGAGCAGAGGAGAGGACAGGAAAAACAGGGAGGATGGCTATTTCTCCTTCGGAGCTGAATACGCTCCATCCCTCCCTCCATCCCTCTCTCCATACCTCCGCTGGGCTATCATTAAGAGGATTTAGGAGTCAGGCGAGAGGAGCCTCAATCCGCCAGGTATCTCTTCCTTTTTCCGTTGAAATAAAATTCTCTCAGCTCATGGAAAATTCATCAGACACCTCATCTCTTAAATTGCCGGCGCAAGCTAGTTCGATGTGAAGCGTATTTCCGGTAGAGGATGGTGTTTTTTAAAGTTTTTTTTTTTTTTTTACTATGGGGCCAGGTAGGGGCCTAGGAGTGGAAGCTTGTCAATTGCCTGTCTTCCCCTCCTTATAGAGTAAATTTCAGAGGACACATACAGTGGATAGAGGTGGATGCAGGTCCCTTACAGGGAAATGATAGACTACACATCAGGAGTTATAGAGGGGGAGGTACATATGAACTTGTATGAACCCACATGAACCTTTAATAGTATCTGTCTGAGATTATGTAAATCTCCCCACTATCATCATCACCGGTATGCTTTACGTTTGAAATGGGAAAGACCAAACATGTCATAACAGCAGCACGAACATCAACCACAAAATCAATACCAATTTACACAATATAGGATATTCAATATAGGATAGTTGGATTTAAATTAATTGAATATGTTTTGGGTTGAAAGCATTCTCTCTCTCTCTACACAATATATGCCTCTCCCTACACAATATATGCCTCTCCCTACACAATATATTCCTCTCCCTACACAACATATTACACTCCCTACACAATATATGCCTCTCCATACACAATATATTACACTCCCTACACAATATATTACACTCCCTACACAATATATTCCTCTCCCTACACAATATATTCCTCTCCCTACACAATATATTCCTCTCCCTACACAATATAAGCCTCTCCATACACAATATATTCTTCTCCCTACACAATATATTACACACCCTACACAATATATTACTGTCCCTTACAAAATGCATACCTCACCCTACACAATATATTTATCTCCCTACACAATATATGCCTCTCCCTACACAATATATTACACTCCCTACACAATATATTACACTCCCTACACAATATATTCCTCTCCCTACACAATATATTCCTCTCCCTACACAATATATTCCTCTCCCTACACAATATAAGCCTCTCCATACACAATATATTATTATCCCTACACAATATATTACACACCCTACACAATATATTACTGTCCCTTACAAAATACATACCTCACCCTACACAATATATTTATCTCCCTACACAATATATTCTTCTCCCTACACAATATAGTCCTCTCCCTACACAATATAGTCCTCTCCCTACACAATATATTCCTCTCCCTACACAATATAGTCCTCTCCCTACACAATATATTCCTCTCCTTACACAATATAGTCCTCTCCCTACACAATATAGTCCTCTCCCTACACAATATAGTCCTCTCCCTACACAATATATTCCTCTCCCTACACAATATAGTCCTCTCCCTACACAATATATTCCTCTCCCTACACAATATATGTCTCTCCCTACACAATATATTCCTCTCCCTACACAATATATGTCTCTCCCTACACAATATATTCTTCTCCCTACACAATGTATTCAATATATTACACTCCCTACACAATATAGTCCTCTCCCTACACAATATATGTCTCTCCCTACACAATATATTCCTCTCCCTACACAATATATGCCTCACCCTACACAATATATTATTCTCCCTACACAATATATTATTGTCCCTTACAAAATACATACATCTCCCTACACAATGTATTTCTCTCCCTACACAATATATTCTTCTCCCTACACAATGTTTTCAATATATGTCTCTCCCTACACAATATATTCCTCTCCCTACACAATATATTCCTCTCCCTACACAATATATTTCTCTCCCTACACAATATAGTCCTCTCCCTACCCAATATAGTCCTCTCCCTACTCAATATATTCCTCTCCCTACACAATATAGTCCTCTCCCTACACAATATATTCATCTCCCTACACAATATATTTCTCTCCCTACACAATTTATTCCTCTGCCAACACAATATATGCCTCTCCCTACACACTATATTCCTCTCCCTACACTAGTATCTGTGGAATGGTTTGGGGGAGATATCAATTGTTAATGCATTCCCATCTTGCAGTTGGAATATGTTGATATAAAACATTTAAGGAATACTTGCCCATAAGACTTGTTCACTTGCACATGCAGCACCAGGTAGATCAAGGTTTCCCAAACTCGGTCCTGGGGCCCCCCACCCCTGGCTGCTCATTTTTGTTTTTTCCCTAGCACTACACAGCTGATTCAAAGCCAGGTCCCAGGTCCCAGAAAAACAGCTTATTTTGCAGATCCTTGCTCTGAGTTTGTTCATTCACTAATTATTGAACATTGGCGAGTAGTATGTTCGGTAATGGAGGACGAGTCGCCTGGCGTCTCAATCTCACTAAGACCCCCCCATGTATGCGTCTCCGTTGGCAACCTCACCGAAGAAGCTAGACCAGCTATTCCCAAGCTCGGTCCTTGGGACCCCAATGGGTGCACGTTTAGATTGTTGCCCTAACACCATAGCTGATTCAAATTATCAAAGCTTGATGATTAGTTGGTTAGTTGAATCAGCTGTGTAGTGCTAGGGCAAAAACCAAAATGTGCACCCAGGGGGCCCCCAGGACTGAGTTTAGGAAACCCTGAGGTAGATAATCACAAATAGAATAGCATAATATCATCGTAGCATCCTATCCCCAGTGTCTGTAACTCTGTATGGTGCTTTTCAATCTACACATTTATGTTTTGCTTCAGTGAACCACACAAATCAATGGGTTAATGAGGTCAAACGGGTCCCCCATGCCAAATCAATTGTGTGTGTTTGTTGGATTGCCTGTGAGTGATTGCATGTGTTCTAGAATACTTGTAAGTGTTTACTGGATTGCCTGTGAGTGATTGCATGTGTTCTAGAATACTTGTAAGTGTTTACTGGATTGCCTGTGAGTGATTGTATGTGTTCTAGAATACTTGTAAGTGTTTGAGGGAGTGTATAATGAAACCTGCTAAAGAGTTAACATGGGGGCAGGTATACAATTCAGCATGAACAGAAATCCATCTTCTTTACATCATTACAGATATAAAAACATACAATTTGAGTGGTGTGTAATAGCCTACACAAATGTTGAGCACCATTACAGTAGGTGAACCTGAGGCTGAGGAACATAGTTTACCTCCTATTTAACTGCCTGCTTGTAAGCACTGAGTAGTCTCTCTACATAAAAAGATGTGTGGGCCCATCCGTTGCCAAATGCATTTAAAATGTAATCTAACACTGAACCAAGCCTCACTGACAAAGACACAAGCTCCTGGGATAAAGGTTAAACTGGTTTTGTCAGAAACCATTACGGGAGAAACAATAGATTGCTAGTGGCATTGAAATCCACTCGCTCCCCGTTCGTCCCCGGGGATGTCAAGTGTGTGAAAATTAATACGTTGGTGTCCGTAAAAAAAAAAAAAAACTGATTAATTCACTCTGCATCCATAGTCCAAACCGTTCAGATGTCTTAACTTCAACGCTTGTGGGCTGTTACTAGGCGTAAATCTAAATTCCCTCAATCCCTAAATATGTAGTTTACATTGGTCAGGGAGAAATATGGTATTATCTTCTGCTAGGCGTGTATATGGTTTACATAGAGTGGAGATGAGGCTCAGAGGGGAAGTACATGACTCTTCATGAGCCATAGATACCAAACCAGTCATTGGCCTGTGTCACAGTGCCCCCTACTGGTAGAGAGAACACCTGGGTTAGAAATATATAATGTAGAACAAATATGACTGTCTGTGCCTTGTAGATTAGAGAATCATGTCAGCTCTATGCATTACATTTCTATCTGCAACATAAACCACATGCCAATGAGAGAATACCTGGGGTTTGTTCAGAAGGGCACAATGTTACAGAACGCTCAGATAGAAATAGGATTGTCTGTCTTGTAGGATAGAGAATCGTGTCAGCTCGATTCATTCCATTTCCATCTGTGATGTTCAGAGCATCTCACTTAACACTCCACTGGTTCATATGCATGACTATAGTATATATCTTCACTTCCTTACAAGTAGAAGAAATGTAGGGTTATATCATCATGGACTCTTTTTAACTGGAGGGAGAATAGAAATAGACACCATGGATATGATCTAGTACATTTGCTCAGCATATGTGATCAATGAAAGGCTACTGATGCAGATCAGATCTAGACTGTCTTTAGATCTAGAGTGGTATAGTCAACCCCTAACCTTTTAGACTCCTCCACACCACGCATAATAAAATAATAAACTGGACGAGCTCCGTTCGAGACCGTCCTATCAACGTCATCTGAAGAACTGTAGTATCCTATGTTTCTCAGAGTCATGGCTGAACAAGGACAAGGAAAATATAAATCGAGTTGGTTTTTCTATACATCGGCAGGAAAAAACGACAGTGAAGGGTAAACTCAAGAGGGGTGGTGTGTGTCTCTTTTTTAACAACATCTGGCACGCGATCTCTAATATTAAGGAAGTATCGAGGTTCTGCTCGAGTTAGAATACCTCATAATAAACTGTAGACCACATTATTTACCAAGAGAGTTTTCATCTATATTTTTCGTAGAAAATGCTCAGCCAAAGGTGGCACTCCCAGTGGCCAGTGATTTTAATGCCGTGAAACTGAACTCAGTCATACCTCATTTCTGCCAGCATGTCACCTGTGCAACTACAGGCGAAAAAACTCTAGATCACCTTTACTTCACACACAGAGACACATACAAAGCTCTCCCTCACCCTCCATTTGGCAACTCTGACCATAACTCTATCCTCCTGATTCCTGCTTACAAGCAAAAAATCAAACAGGAGGTACTGGTGACACGCTCAATAAGGAAGTGGTCCTATGAAGCAGATGCTAAGCTACAGGACTGTTTTGCTAGCACAGACTGGAATATGTTCCGGAATTCATCCAATGGCATTTTACCACATCAGTCACTGGCTTCATTAATAAGTGCATCGACACAGCGACCATACATACGTACATACAGTGTCTTCGGAAAGTATTCAGACCCCTTGACTTTCTCCACATTTTGTTAGGTTACAATTTTTTTTTTTTTTTTTTTTTATATATATAATCTCATCAATCTACACACAAT